GTCCGCCTCGCGCTTAATTGATTTCACTAATTTCTCGCCTGAATCTTTCAGATTTCTACGCTCCCTTCTTTCTTTCCAACTTGATACTTTTTTTTTCTTTTATTCACTGCTGTATCGTTGCTACTGCGTTCGGAAATAAATTTGGAACGCTTCAAAACTGTCAGAGCGTAAATCACTCGTGAAAAATGGAGCACTTGAACATTTTCGTGAGTAATAAATATGTACTATAAGATCTGCACCAACTTTCCACGCGTTTTAAACTTGAAAACTCGTCGACAGGTTTTCCGTACCTAACTGACAATCATTTGTCACCGGTGTCTTCTTGAAAGTATAATTAATATTAGCAATTGCCACACAGGACGTCCCAGACCTAACAAACCACCCGTTAATAACAGATTCCCGAGATCAAGACGAAAATCCTAATGCAAAAATACCGATAATAATTATTTCGACATTTAAAAGCAAAATTGCTCAGCAACGCAGTTACGTGCAATAAATGTTTAAAAAATATTTAACATGGGTCATGTTTACCGTTGGACCTGCTCTTATCTCGTCTCGCGTGAATTTTACTTACAAGTATGAGACGCCTCGTAGCGGCAGCTCGTCGTAACACAGCAGCAATTTAATTGTGCAAATATTCTGCCAAGATGATTCGCCAAAACGCAGTTGTTTTGCTGACATACTATTTAGAAATACACTAGAGATGACCAAACGCGCGCTTCGCGCGCGCAGTTTGTGCTTGAGCATTGTATATTTTTAAGAATTTCTATACATGCAACGAAGTAATTGTATGCGCAACGTCAATTTAAAATAAAAAGTAATTTATCACTCACTGATACGATTCGCAACCGCAGAGTTGTACATCATGTATGTTAAACTGTAAAAATACAAATATGTATATGATTAGTATATGTAGACTAATTGTGTCAAATCGAAATTATTGTACTAAATATGCTTCATATTTTATATTTTAAAAAATAGGTATTTATTAAGATAATTATATAAAATACTGAAAAAGCCTTCCTTTTAAATATTAATTCACAAAATTTTATACATTGGTTTTGTCTCTAACACTTATTCGACTCCTCGTTCGAATCATTTGAATAAATAAAATAAAAACGCAGAACAGATGCTTTATTTTGCACAAGTAACAATTAAATAACATAAAAATGTAAGACACTTACCTTACGATTTCTCCGCCGTTGCCCGATGCCTCCTCGGCCTCCTCCTCCTCTCAGATTTCCTTGTTGCACTTACACGACACTCACTCGCGAAAATCATCGATCGCGCGAAATTTCCGGCACTCCCGTACGCGATGTGAAATACCGCGAACACACGAAATATTATTAACTTCTGCGTTATCGGTTTCCAAGACCTTCTGTCATACAAATTACTCAAACTAACAACTTGCATTTTTGATTCGGAAGAATAGGACAATGGATAAATCACTTTCGAATTGGCGATATAAAACGCAACGCGAGCATCGGAAGCATAATCTGCGGCAAAAAAATAATGTAACGACGTGCAATAAGCGACTTTCTTTACTTCCCGCCCGTTCGAGTTGCGAAGAACGACAGAGCGAAGTCGTAAAATTTCTCTTTTTTCCCGAAAATGGAACAGATTACACGAAATCGACAGATAATTAAAAGCGCGGTGCGTAAACGAGATGTAACCGCGACAAAGTACCACGGTTTACATTCATATTTTAGATGAGTTGATAACCGTCGCCTCAATATACAATTCGTTTCTCTTTGCAGGTTGTAAAAACTTAATGATTAATCAAGGAACGTTACTTGTTACTGATAAAGGTGTGCAAATCAATAGTGTTTTATCCCTGCATTCATCGCGATCGAGTCTTGGAAACCAATAACGCAAAAGTAATACCACGCACGGAGCGACTCTCGCCACTGCTTGCCGGCTCGACGTTCGGCGAGCGAGTGATAGCGCAGCGACCTTCAAGTAAACAATGGCCCGCGTAACGTCGTACGATACAGCGCCGAGAGAAAAACAACAAAAGAGTTGGCAGTTCGTTGTCCTGTCTACGAAATTGAAAATGCTATACCTAATATTTCTAATTACTTTGTTCAGTGACTGTTACTACGTTTTGCGTATCTTTCTGCGGACTTATTGGTATTGATTACATTAACAATTAATTCTGTTCAATCGAGAAAATGTTTCGAAACGAAAATCGTTGTTACTTAAATTCTAATTACTAAGATTAGAGATTTTACTTCAATAGTTGATGCATACAAATGTATAAGTATTTCTAAATTGCAAATCTTCATTCGCTATGAATCTAAAAGAGAAGTGAAGCACACCGCGCTTCGAGAAAACCAATCGACATCGCGGAAAAGAGGCCTCAACTGTTCGATATTAACGACATTCGCGCCGGTAACATCTCTTTATCAGAAAGGGATTCTGCAAATATTTATCAATATGTTATGAAAGATCTCTATTTCTGCATATTTTTTGTTTTCCCTCTGCGGGAACGCCGTCAACCGTTAGGTTATTTAGCGAAATATTTCTGCATATATTATTCGAAATATGTACGCATAATTCTAGTATTCCAAGTTTCATCCAGATGCCGTCACATAATTCTCCAAATATTTTCCTATCGGGATTAATAATCATTTCGATGGTTTCAAGGGATAACAACGGGACAAAAGGAATTGATGTACATTATCCACGTAATATCCACATTCGATAACTCCGAGAAGTTACATTTACCGAATATTCGGCGCAGGTTTCTCGAGCGTTCTACGCCGCGGAGAATTGAAGGAGCGCCAGCCGGTAAATCGTGCGCTTTGTGTAACACTGTAACACATCTCTCTCGTTAATACAAACGAAAATAAATCAGTCCGAAGTGGCGTCGTGCTTTTGCACCCTGCTTCCACGGATTCTGTTCCGGTTTGTTCCGAGGCGAGACGCTATGCGGTTCTCACAGCGTTTAAGCCTAATCTACAATATGCTCTCTGCATCCAGAAACATTCTGTTTTACGTAAACAAGTCGAAACACTTGAAGAGTTTGTCGCACAATGTACGATTGTACAATGTATAATACACATCTTATCAATTTGCACAAATACTACAAGATAGAAAGTTTTCTAGACGCAAAGAACACACTGTAGATCAGGCTTTAGCGTCCGGCATTCATTGATGCCGTCGTTGAAAGACGCTTGAGACAAGAGTCGTTATAATGATGTTATCAGTCGGCAGGTATTATGAATACTACAAAATACGATTTATCCATAATTTGGTTGCGAAGTACGTCGACGATAAGTGAGGATTATCCGAAACAGAAATAATGGATGAAACAACCCTTGGGAAAATTTACTTTAAATGAAATTGAAGTTTTTAAAAGTAATCTTTCAAATCTAAAAGTTCACTTAAAGAAGTTAAAAGTTTGCTCACGAAATTTTAGGGTAATTTTGGACAATTAAAGTAATTTTTAGGTATAGCCAAGCCTGTCGAAGTTTCCGCTAGAGACATGGCATTTTGAAGAACTTTATGGGAATTTTTTGAAATTTTACCATACATTTTACTAGTAAAATGTATACTAAATATAATTACTAGGTGTAACTAAATATAATTACTAATCATGGGACACCACGGCATTTCGAGAAATTGTACGAGAGTTTTTTGATACTTTACCATACATTCACTAGTAAAATGTATGATACAATTTAAAAAAACTAATAAAATTCTTCGAAATGCCGCGTTGTTCCACGATCACTTTCAGGATTTTAAAAGAAAATTCTCCGCGTGTATATATCTTCTCGGTCTCTCCTCCTCGACGACCTATTTCTTATCGAGCTGATTCAATTCTTTTCACCGTTACCCTGCGATATCACACAGGAGCTGCATGCTAAATGAATCGCAGTGTTCAGTTGAGCAGCTTAGCGGCCAGCTATTCGTACCGCCTCGATTTCTGCATTACCGTCTCCGCAAAGAGATCCGTGTGTCTGTGCGATCAATCGGGCTACTGCGCGCGTTCAGTCTCTCATTTTCTTGTGCTCTCTACAAGCCAATCAGTGGATTGTCACTGAAAACAGTGAACATTCACTGGTTCACAGTTATAAGTATAGCACTGACTTATTCAGTACAGTTATAAATGTTTTCAATGATAATGCACTGACTGACCTTTAGAGAGTACGCGGACGCGATATCGTTGCTTATTTCAAAGGTAGATAAACCGCGCGTTAATTAATATCTTGCATAGTCATCAGTCTCTCAAAGGAGTATATTATCTGTCCCTCTGCACTTCCCGTATTGAATATCATGCAAGCGTTAACGATTTTTCGCGAAAGACGTAGGATCAACGGTAGAATCCGCTGGCGATAACCTACGCTCACAATCAGTACAGTTTCAACGCACAATTACTGGCAGCTAGGGTGCGTTCTTCGACGATGAAAGAATGAGTAATTAATTGATATCAGTGGGGATCGATTCTCGCAAAGTTAGGGACCAATTTATCATGGTTTTTCACCATGAAAATCAAATAGTCGCTAATTTTCACTATGACATTCGTAAGCAGCGCGTCAAAATACGTAGGAACACTGAGTTTCGAAAGAATCGCAGGTGAGTAGTTTGCGGAACTACACCAAGAGACAGAAAACGAATTAAACTAAGCTTAAAGTTAAGCTTTATTTGTTTTATGAAACTTGTTGAAACCGGGCCTCAGTGCCAGTTTCAGAAACGTCGGTTAACTGTTAATCAGAGTTCAGTTAACTCCCAATCTTTTTCTATCTTGTTATTTAAGAAGAGGCAGGGAATCAATTAACCTTCGGTTAGCAGTTGACCGACGTTCGTGAAGCTGACCCTTGGCCCAGTTTCACCAAACGTCGCTCAACTCTAATCTGAGTTTAATTCACGTTTGTCTCTTACTAAAGTAACAATGAGACGAAGAACGGATTAAGCTAAAGTTAAGTAACGTTTGGTGAAACCGGGCCTTGGATGGACAAACGCATTTTCGTTGCTATCCGACGAGCTGGTATACGTACCTAGGGGAAATCGAACCACGTAATTAAAAATTCTCGATTCTGCCAGGTCGACTAATTGCCGATCGGAGTCGCCCTCGATAATAAAGATTCGGACACTGAAAAGGAGAGAGCCCGGGGCCGCGCGAGGAACGAACAATTCGCGTCCATTTCCAGCAATGCAGATTAATTTGGAACTCGGTTTCCCCGATGAAAATTTTTCTCAGCATTTTCACACGAATTGGTACACTTTTCAGACGTACTGAGAAAGTCCACGTGTTTTCTTAGAACTTTTCATACATGTGAACGTTCTGCGATACAAACGTTTGAAATTGTAGAATGAGAAATTTCAGAATATTTCAGAATTCGTACACGTGAAAAATTCTAGAGAAGACACCAACTCTCTCGGCGCTTCTGAAAAGCGTTGCGACTTGTACACGAAAACTCTGAAAAATTTTGTAAAAAAAAATTATAAAGTTATTTACAAAAATCTCAAAAATTCTGAGCAAAATTTTCATCGGGGTTACCTTACGCCTTACTTTCTCCAGTTTCAGAAATTGGAACGCGAACGTAAGTTAAACCGGGATCAAAGTTAACCTGCATTGGTAGAGACGGGGCATTAAACGAAACTCGGCCGAAACGCCTACCCTTCGACACGTCGGGAGGGGGAGTGGGCGACCGCGTCAGCGCGCGCGCAGTGCCGCCCTCCGTTTTCCACGGCCGGCTCGGGGCTCTCCTCTTCCACACCGCCGGCGCGGATCTCGCGCAATTTTATACCCTTATCCCGCACACTCTCCTCGAAGAGAGAAGGCGACTCGTCCGCGGGGAGCGCGGGGGAACCGCACCGTTTGCCGGGCAGTCCATTTTCTCCCGACGCAGGGAGGCCGGGCAGGGCTCGCATTTCCCGCCGTTGGGAAGAATGGAAAATCGATAATCGCAATCGCTCTTACCGACTCTCGCCCGCTCGCGCGTCTCGCTCTCGCCCCCCCCCCCCGGGCGCGTAGCGCCCCCCTCGCCCCGCAGCGTCGCGTCGCTCGTGACGCGCTCTGGAAATCTCGCCCGCGCGCGTTCCCCCTCTCGCTCGCGCCCGCCCGTCTCTCTCGCTCGCTCCCGGGCGCGCGGCTGTCGTGCTCCCGCCACCGGAACACGCGCAGCGCTGCCAGTCCGCCGTATACGCGCCCGCCATTGAGGACGACCGCCATTATAGATTCCGTTGTGAGTGACCGAGTCCGTTCGGCGATCTGCGATCCTCCCACGGAAAAGCTCCGTTTCTCGCGTTTCTCGAGCCCACGGCACCGGCTCCACGCGCACCCGCCGCCAATTCGAAAGGCGCGTCGCAGGTAGGGCGCGGGACGGGGACGGACAGCGTGGAGCGGGCGGAGGCGGAGAGGAGTCGAACAGATAGATCGCGGGCGAGCGGCACCCACGGCCGGAAAAGGAACGTACGCGCGATGAAAACGTACAGCAGGAAAAAGGGCGACAGCCCGAGCAACGTGATCATCCACGTGAACGAGCTGTGCCGGCTCTGCCTGGCGAAGGAGGAGGAGATGGTGCCGATCCACGACGACGAGACCGTGCCGATGCCGCTGCGGATACTCTCCTGCGTCAACATCGAGGTGGGTCCCCGACTCCCGCGCGCGCGGCGAGCCGAGCGGTGCCGAGCGGAGGAGGAGCGTCGTTGGCACACGCGGCAGGAGCGTCGTCGCGAATCGATCCTCGACCCGATTCGATTCGATTCGCTTCGCAGCGAGCGATAATAATCGGCGGCCGGGAGCGGCTCATCGAAAAATAGGAATCTAGTTTATCTCTCCGCGCGCGCACGGCGTCCTCTCGCATTATCTCCCCCTTCCCTCTCCGCCGCGACGGCTTCTTCGTGTGTGCGCGCACACACGCGTGCACGTACGCGCGCGCGTGTATGTGTACACGTGACGCGGCTGCGTCGCACCGAGCCGCCCGTATATGTGTGTTATGTGTGTGTGTGTGTTGCACGCGTGCGCGCGCGCGAATGACGCCGTGCGCGAGGCAACTACCGGCCTTACCGAGTTATCGACGAGCTGTGCGATAGGTATAGCGACCCGGCCGCCTTTTACGCGCGCGCCGTCTCATTACAGGGACCTAGAACCGCGCGCGCGGAGAGCGCCGGGCGTCCCTCTTACCCTGCGGATTTATAGAGATCTGTAATGCGCCCCCCGGTAGTACGTCGCGGTTGGAGTCGAGACGTCGAGAGGCGTCGTCCACCCGGCGGCGAATCGCGGAGCGCCGCCTCCGCGTCCTGGGGCTCGATCACGAGTCTTTTCCTCTGGCGTCGACTCGTGGGAAAAAGTGGGAAATTTCATTGAACAATTACTCAATTATCGAATTGAGCCCGTCACCTGAAATGTTGGACTGTTGTCCGCGAGGGGCGAACCGCCAATGATCAAAATCTTGTACGCCAATGCCCAGTGGGCTTAAAGGCTGGTCTACAATACATGGAGTAAGCTGGAGTAAGGAGTAGGAGTAAGGAAATAAATCCATTTTATTTCCTTACTCCTACTCCTTACTCCAGCTTACTCCATGTATTGTAGACCAGCCTTTACTTCATCTTATTTTATCTTTATGATGCCCCAGCAAGGCCTAATCCCCAAACTAATGTCCACAAAATGCCTAGTAATGCCCAGTAATGCCGCAAATCTACACAATGCCCTCAGCGGTTTTCCCCCTCAATCGTCTGTTTCTATCAATACAACAGATTAATTTTAATGTTTGCGAAACGGACCCGGCAACCATCCGGAAGCTATTACGGCTGAAGAAGACAGCAGCCGCGAAAGCTTGAAAGCCAGGATTAATTTTAATCTCGGCTTGTATGATAACTGAATTCTAATCCAAAATACATTATTTGCAAAGTCTTTTCATCTTGATCTTAATGAAATAAAGGTCCTTTGGCCTTGAGCCGAAGAATAAATCAAGCTTCCTCTTACATCGCATTATTTATGGGATGACCCAATGTTGTACAAGAAGTACTTTCAAACTCGCTCATCAATAATTAAATCGATACAAATAATAAAATGTGCACTATATATCTTGACTATTCGAGCTATTAATCTTTAATGCAACTAAAGCTGGGCATTTCCTGGATATTTCAGGTCTACGAGCAGGATGGCCTGCCTAACATGATATGCCATCCCTGCAAATATCAGCTGGAGAAGTCCTATCAGTTCCGGAAGAAATGCCAGGCCGCGGATGTCAAGCTCAGAAAGCACATGAAGTTGATACAGCAGCTAACCGGGCAGAACGAAGAGGACGAGAGCCAGGACAGCAGGGACGAGTCAAAGGAGTCCAGTACGGGCAAGTCCAAGCAGGTCAAGCAACTGTTGGCCGATCTGGTTGCCACCAAGGGTGACAGCGGTCAAACCGATGGGGATCCCATCGAGGTGACGGAGGAGGAACTCGTCGGCGGCTACATCTTGGGTGTGTATCACTTCGTCTCGCCGCGTCTCCACACGAGCCCGGAAAACCGAATCTTCCACGTTGGTTTCGTCGCGACGGCGATTTTTATGAAAAGAGATTGCAAGACGCTTGCCCAGTCTCCACTCGGGAGGCTCATACCTGTCTCTTGTAGCTCGAACGTTTCTGTTCAGTTAACTCAAATTCGTGTCTCGCAATCTCCTTCTCCGTCAGAGTGGAATGATTTCTGATCGAAAATTCCTGAGGTTGTGTGCATTGAGAAATGTTTACAAAAAAGTTTGGTTCACACGTGTATACCGTCGTTGGTTTGATATGCAGGAATGAATTCTGAAAATCCGGAGATGGAGGAGAATGAGAATGTCTCTGAGGATCCGGAGAACATCACGTTGATGCCCGCCGAAGAGCGTACGGCGAAGGCGCGGTGCACGATAAGGACGTCACGCATCAAGCAGGAGCAGGAGTCCGACGACGAGACGGAGGAGATGCAGAAAAGCAGCGCCGACCACAAGAATGTCTACATGATGGAGGTCACCAGCACAAATTCTAATCAGCCCGACTCGCTGAAGTTACAGCCTATAGGTGACACGATCGGTACGGAAAGGATACCACGAGATACGTTCTGTCTGTAACGAAGGAGAGGCACGAATTAGAAATTACAAGTTGCCAATGTTGTGCATTGTAGTCGACGCCAATCCGGAGCTGAAGGTGTTCAAATGCGACAAGTGTCCGAAAGCGTTCACCCGGAGGATAATGCTGAAGAGTCATCAGTCGGTGCATTCCACGCAGAGAGGATTCACGTGTCAGGCGTGCGAGAAGTGGTTCCCGACGAGATCCGCGTTAGTGAGACACGAGCGCACACACACAGGTTCGTATTAGTTCTGGCGCTAATCCCGATCGTAGAAAAAAAATACTGATTTCTTTTTCAACAGCTCCTACCACTATTTCTCCTCTGTATAAACGAGTCGCGTCCATTTTAGTAGCGTTGAAAAATGCGTGACTTTAAAAATTTACTGTAGAAATATGCAATTAATATATTGTCGCTGTGTATACTTACAGGTGAAAAGCCGTTCGGCTGCAATATCTGCCACCGTGCTTTCGCGCAAAAGGAGATTCTATTCCGGCACTTGATGACGCATTCCGGCCAAAAGCCGTTCCAGTGCCAGCACTGCGAGAAGAGTTTCACGCAGCGAGAAGCGCTTAAGGTACACATGCGCCGGCACCAGAAATTAAATCCGAACGATATTCAACTGCATCATTGTCAACTTTGTCCGAAAGCGTTCTGTCACGCTTCGGGTCTCAGCAGGCACTTGGTCACGCACACTGGTAGAACGTACAAGTGTGTCGAGTGCGAGAAGACCTTTACGGATAAGAGCTCACTGCTGAGACACAGTCGTATCCATGCGCCCAAGAAAATCATTGCAAATTGAGCAAATGCCTTGCTCAGTTTGTTGTGATTTTCCTGAGATGTTTGGGTACAGAAACAATTCTTTGAACCGATGTCTAAGTCGGAATTAAGCCTGCAGTAAATATTGTCGATATTAACGAAAAAATGTATCAATATAGATTTTCAAAGAGTTTATATGTGGTTATGATTGAAAATGAACTTAGTTGTATAATTATCCTTATATGCAACTAGTATATTTAACGTTACATTTAAGGAATATTAGATGTATGTTTATTTTAGTCAACCTTATATAAATATCAGCAAATTGTATAATTGGAGAAGTTCCCCTAAATCCTGTATTCATTCGAGACGGAATTTAAAATTGTAAAGAATATATTGACAATTTAGAATACGAAATTTTGCGAACACAAGTTGTGTTTAAATGCGACAAATACAGCACGATGCAAAATGAATATCCGGCGTAAACAAATATTCAATATTTTGACTGCAACTTGTATGAGAATGATTAAAATAAGCCCGATAGTTTTAATTTCTAACATTTTTTAAAATTCAAAGCTAGGGTTTTGTCCTTGCGTGATTAAATTAGAGCAGGTAATTTTTTTCATATTACGTGCAATTTGGATCAGGCATGCGCTACGTATTAAAATTGTGACATAGCTGAGTATAGCGTAACAACAACATTGAGTGCATTAGTATAATTTAGTTTTCCCCTCAAGGCAACAATGACTAATATATTCTTATATATAATTTTTATATTCGAAAGATCACGTATGATTAATCATGTACTTCTTTGCGACGTAGGTTTACGACTATTCATAATTGATGTATATAGTTCTAAATACAAAGTTATATTAATGGAATTATGTCACTCATGTACACATAAATGCTACTTTATTACGACTATTATCCTTATAATCGTCTGGTCTTCTAAAGCTCGCGCGAAGATACGCGATCGATCTCGCAGCGCGTATGCATGACGCGAGATAGTACCGTGACCCTTGATTATTTTACGCTGTACAGGATACCCCGAAATTTGCGAATCGAAAAACCATAGCAGGAAATTTGTCGAAAAAAAAATTGAAAAGTATTTGCCAGTTTTTGTTCCCATTCTTTCAGATAAAAAGGTTCAACCGGGCCATTTTATTTAAAAAAAAACTTGCTTGGAACGAAAAATGACAAATCCTTTTTAATTTATTTTTTCGACAATTTTCTTGCCGTGGTATTTTGATTCGCGAATTTCGGGACACCCATTAGCCATTCATATTTCAAGTCCTGTTGTAAACAGTACGGGGGAAGAACATTTTGAGACACGAAAATTACTCGATATATAAAAGGAGAGAAGTATTGTTGCAAAATCCTTATGTACATGGGAATAAGTTGTACTGACGAATGTATCGTGTTTTATTTTAATCTATTTTACTGGATACGCGTGCCTACGGTATTTTAACACTGTAAAAGTACTGCTATAATGTAACAAAATGCGCGGCAAGGCGGAATACGTGGGCTATTCGATTACAGGGATTATTCTACATGTTGCACATCTCGTTTTGAATCGTTGAATACTGAAGGGTGATCGTGCGAATGCATATAAAAATTGCTCGCTACGTTCGCGAACTATGTAGCCAGCGTCGCAGCGTCTTGTGCGACAGAGCTCAATATCATTTGTCGGGGAAACGTTAATAGAACTGCAATATTGGTCAAGTGCAAATTATGCATCGCGCAATTAAAACGGCAGGAAGATCGAGGATCAAATATGCTCTGCTTGCGTAATGATGCGGTAGTACACAAAACGACAGAAAATGCTTTTATTAAAAAATCCGTTTTATTTTGTCTTTTTTTCTTCTTTTTTTTTATACGATTCTGTGTACTATTACATATTGCCGATATGGTTTACGTCGCAACAAGTCGCACACATCAATTCTGCCAGAAGGTGACTAAATCTTTTTACAACTGTTTCTCTATTTGTTTCTCCCATTAAAAGCCGACGGTGTATGTCGGGCAATTTGTACCAAAAAATGAGAACAATGAAAAATTCTACACAACAGTTTCGAGCTCCGTCACACGGTCTGTGCTGGACCTCTACCGGGATTAGATTTTCAACGATTTCGTTCTCCTTTATAATAACTGCTGCAATTGTTCTATTTAGTTAAAACAATAGCAAAGGGGGAAATGACCGTACATTTCTTGGAACGATTAAGCACACTTGCACATAATTAAGAACATTCGCGCGTATACTATGAAACGATGAAAGCTAATTTCATAACAAAGCTGTTCAATTAGACTAGTATGATGAGTTTTAAATATTCTAAAATATTTAATAATGTTTAAACTACTCGATAAATGCATCCGATCCAGTATTGTATTGCAACTGTCTTTCGTGAAACTCATTAATTAACGTGACGCGGGCGCGTACGTAACGCACAACTATGTCATTTCCTTCTTTGCTACACATACGCCGAGGACACATTATCATCAATTTACACTTCTTTTCCCTCCTCAACGATTAATGATTCTAACGAAGTTACGTACACGAAAGATCGATTGGTATATCGACAGAGTCACCAGTGAAATAAAACGCAAGCTCGCGGAAATTCGCGTGTGTAAATTTGTGCATGCTGATTAAAAATTACCTCGCTTAGCTGATCAAGAATCGGAGTATCGAACTTTCATGTACGTGCGAGGGACTACGAATACAGCTAAAAATCTATAAGACTGCAGTTACATTTCCGAATCTGAAAACACGTATAGCGCCCGTTTATACATTTTTCTTCAAAAAATTTGATCCGCTACAAGTTCCTCCTCTTTTTACTGGTTTGCAAGTGAAAAGCATCAGCGCGTACCAGCGAGAGAGAATCGACTGGCTGTTACGGAAACCGAGCTTAGCTGACGTCAGTTCAAGAAAGAGGCTCCCAAGATCTGAACCAGGAAACTCGCACAATGGGCTCCATAATATAGGCTCGGTTCGCTTTTCTCCTTGCATAATGCATTCATTATATCTAGATGTTTATTGTGCCGTATTGATAAGAGACACCACCAGACGAAAAACCGAAAGAGAGTGAAGGAAGAAACGACTGTCCATACCCGTGTCCCGGTTTATGAACGAGATTTGTACTATGCCTGTCGTCACATATACAGGGTGTCTGATAAAAATATCGCCAATTGTAAAATATTCATATGTCGCGTTGCAAAATTCGCAATAGTTATCAATCAATTTATACATCTGAGCGAATAAGGACACTCGCCGCTCGCCCCGATCACTGTTTTTTCCCACCGCGTTGTATCTCGCGCGTCGCTCCACCTCCCGCTCAGCGATCGATTATTTTACATGGCTTCCAAGTCCGGTCTACCGTATTCTACGTCCTCATTCGCTCAAATGTATAAATTAATTACTCGATAACTATTGCGAATTTTGCAACGCGGCATATGACTTTTCTTCTCAGTTTAAGCCAATCTACCACTATTTTACGATTGGCGACATTTTTATCAGACACCTTGTATAATGCGGTATTTGATGGCAAAAAGAACTAGAGAACTGCCTATACCTAGTCCTCTCTATTGCTAAGTATTGGCATAAGAAAGAATCGATGGCCTCGCTGGTGGCTGCGGCACGGGAATTGAAGTATCGCGGACGAAATTCTTTCCTTTTTCCTATTTGAAATAACACGATTACTTCTCTGAGAGGAAGATAGAGAGGGAGATAGAGTTAGAAAGAGAGAGAAACAGAGATGTTCTATCGGATATCTAAAACCGAGAAACGTCGAGTCCAATTTAAAATCCATCCTCTCATCAATCGAGAATCAGCTTTTTTGGTTGCTCCCATGTGAAACCGTCTCGTCCAAAGTGGCCATACGTACTGGTTTGTTGATAAATAGGATTGCGAAGATTCAGTTCCCTACAAAAAAAAAGGTTACACCGTCAATTTATTTAGCTTCTTGCGTTTATTAATAAATTATATCATCTCGTATCGTAATATTTCATGAGCAAGACAATATTTATCCTAACAGTTTGCGTAGTGCAAATTGTATTAAAGCTACGAAAAAAAAATTAAAATTATATAAGTGTACACACTTGACGATCTTGCCGGGTCGCAAATCAAAGTTCTTGTTCACTATGTCTAAGAGCTCGTTCTGAGAACGCGTGGATGTGCCATAATCGAAAACTGTGATAGACAATGGTTCTGCCACTCCAATAGCATAAGAGACCTATTAAATAATCGCACATTTGTTACAATACGAAGACATAGAATTTTCAAAAATCTCATTACAAAACAGTTCTATACGGAAATTGCGAAATTTTTTATTACAACAACGATAAATCTTGACGATCTCGCAAGCTTTACCTGCACGAGGCAACGTCTGCAAAGGCCAGCCTTTACCAAAGACTTGGCGACCCATCTCGCAGCGTATGCAGCTGATCTGTCTACCTTCGTAAAATCTTTACCGGAAAACGCACCGCCACCATGCGCTCCCCAGCCACCGTACGTGTCTACAATAATCTTTCGCCCGGTGAGACCCGCATCACTCTGGAATTTTGAACGAGTAAATCAGAACAACTTGCAAAGTATAACGCACATTTTTCAAAATTCTATCTATTAACAAAATTACACGTGTCTTATATAATTATATATAGAGTTTTTAAATTATTAAATTATTATAGTATTGCAAAATTATATTTGATTGATTATTCTCAGTTAGGTTTTTAACATCATAGCATTCAAGAGTAGCAAATACAGAAAATACATCATCGAATAATCATCACTGTCCATGAGCTCTTTCTCTTATTATCTAGATTGGTGCTTCAAGTTAGACGTCGTGCGCTGATTATGTTATTGGAGACTTTAATACCTGTGGTCCACCGATGATGAAAAGCCCACAAGGATTTACATGGAAGACCGTTCTTTCATCCAGATATCTCGCTGGTATCACTTCTTTGATGACCTTCTCCATGACAGCCTTACGTAACTCGTCTAGACCAATTTTTTCGCTATGTTGCAGCGACACCACAACCGTATGGACTCTTATAGGTACGCAGGCTCCATGGTCCATGATGTACTCACAGGTTACCTATCGTAAACATAATTATTATACATACGTCTCGTGTAACTGTACATTTTATTTTTAATTATTAAAGTATTGTAAATATACATATATATATATTTGATAGATTATTCTCAGTTAGATTTTTAACATCATAGCACTCAAGAGTAGCAAATACAAAAAAATACATCATTGAATAATCATCATTGTTCGTCTTTTTTCCTTATTGTCTAGATCAGTGCTCGAAATTAGACACCATTTTCGGACCGATTTCTGAGACGACGCTTAATATTCCTCGTTTGCTACTGAACGGTCGAGCTGCTGATCGCACGTGTAACACCTTTTCATACGATAAATATGCTAGGAGCGTAACTTCCACCAAATCATTTTCCTTGCTAATAAATCATTTAAAATTTTATAAAGTATAAATAATTAAATTATATATATAAATAAATTCTTTCTATTATTAATGTATCGTATGTGTTATCTATTGTTATATGTTATAACAATATTTTTGATATATACTAATTACAACTTTGACAATAGTTTTCCATCCGTCACCCTTGAAGTACTCTTACTGATACGTTTTTTGAAGTGGTTTTCTGAATAGAAATAATCTATTTCACTAAAAACTAATAAAGAAGCTGATAAAATATGTGGCTGGGCAGAACAGCAAAATTCTATGTCATATTAGAAAGATATTATGTAAATATAAAAACAAATAAGGAAGAAATAGAAATTTGTGCCACATATTTCATCATCTTTGTTATCTTTTAGTGGAATAAACCTACCGGGAAAATCACTTAAAAAAACGCATCAACAATATTATCTCACGAGTAATGTGGGAAACTATTATCAAACTTGTAATTATATACGTTCGCGATATGTAAATGTCTTCATTTGACAAACATATTTTCTGACAACAACATGCTCATTATTATTGTAAAAAAATTGACCGTGACATTGACATTTGAGATGTAATTATATACCACAAATATTTTAAATGTAAAATATATATAAGATAATATTACATAATATAATACATTAACAATAGAAAACTTGTTTCATTATCAAGGAAAATAAAAATTATGCAGCAAGAAAAATATTTTTACGATTCGATTGAAGATACGATTCCAGCATATCTCTTACATACGGGCACTTCTGGGCGTCACACATATGTAATCGGCAGTGGAGGGAAAGGCCTTGGAAATCGGCCCGAAAAGGACATCTAATTCCGAGCACTGGCCTAGATCTTTGAACGTGAAAAGTATCGAGAAATGATTAGGGATTTCTCGAATTCCAGCCGTATTTTTCGACGAATTTCTTACACTCCTTGTTTTGTTAAGATTCAGATAAACCAAGTGCATATATGTATAAACGTATGGAAATCAAACCTGTGTTTTTGAATCTGGACGAGCCCACCATAGTTCGCCGCTTCGTCTTAGTTCGGCGATTTTCTGATTCAATTTATGTGCCAGCACGACCGTCAATGGCATACACTCGTCGGTTTCATCAGTCGCGTATCCGAACATTAGACCCTGATGGAAGAATTCGAGTTATTCCAGCTAAAATTTATGCGACACACAAGCTTTGAAGCGTCCAACGGGCTTTGCACGTAAAATTTCAAATATGTGGATAATTTATTTGAAATTACGTGCCGTCGGAATGTAAAAGTTAACATTTTGTTTTTATGCGTGAAAAAGAATAGGAAGCTTAATTATAGTAAAGCTCTCATGAAGAGTAAATTATTGCGTGAATATGTAGTATTATATAGATATGTGAAAAATATGAAGCAATATAACTAATAATGTGATAAAAGGTGCCACACAGAACAGAATAGTGATATAGATATGACAAAAGGGATATACACGTTTACGCTGACAATGAAAAAACTTTTACATCTTACACCATTAATTAACCAATAACCAACTAACAATAAGTAGTTTAATCACATAATAGATTCATTTGAGAGTATGCTTTTAGTCATCCCTGCGAAAATATTTACTGAAAATACATATAATGACATTTTGCTGAGGTGTATTTGAAAATCTTCCTCGGCCCGTTTTCATTGTCATCTCAACATAAAAATTTAGTAAAAAATCACGAACAAATTTTAGTTAAATTCAGCAAGTCTCACAAGTTTTTGTATTACTTTTCAATAGTATACTTTAGCTTTCTATTTCGCAGTATTACATTGAGTTTCACGAGAAAAATTATAATTCGTTGTTGGATATTCGTACCTTCAGCAATTTTTCAATAACTTTCATTTTACTTGTCGTCGATCTCGTAGTACTTTCAGCAAAATATCTTCATCGGGGCAGTAGCCAATCTCCTTTGGTTTCAATTATTTAACAACGAATTCTCAACCACGAGTTAAGATCGTACTAAAATCATGGTTAATCCTACTGGAGACGTTATTGATCCACAATAACGTGAAACATGCAAACGTTTCCAAATCTAGGTTGGATTTCTCGCACAAACTACTACATCCTACACCACGCCCGTTTAATTTTACACTCCCTATATGCCAGATCCAACTAAAGAATTAACGACAAAATAACATTCTTGTAGCGTTCGAACTACCGTCACAAGTACAACAAGTATGTGAGGGACACTCGACATGTCACTTCCACCTCTGTAGCGATGAAATTAAAACGAAGGCCAGTGGTTCACAAGAAGAAGTAAAGAAGTGAGGTGTTACTTGTACAACTACTGCAAAAGAAATGTAAGTAACGCAGGAGGCAAACAAAAAAAACGGAAGAAAAACAGAAGACAAAGAGAAGAGATAATTCAACGATGGCAATGCTAATTGACCTGATCTCCTGCTCCCACTTCCTCGTCGCTACGGTTTTCGTGAACGCCTGCCGCGATATTTGGGGACTGAGCGTCGAGCGCCAGCAGAACATTGCACAGCTTGTAGTCAAAACCTGCAGAAATCATCAAGCGTAGTGAGACAAATGATGTTCGCTGCCGCGTTTCACGCGTCGTTTCTTGTCGCGTGAGATTCCGCCACTCTGGTGCCTCGGATTTGTATCAGACCACGCTGATCCCAATAATCCTGGATTGATTAAAGCTAACACGACGGCTGCATGTAAGAGTTCGGGCACTTGACAAGATATCGGAAAGATGATACTGGATCGAGTTCTCCAAAACTGTCCGCGTGTTGAATTTTTGTTTTATAGATTAGATAACAAACATGTTGCACACAAATGAGTGTTATTAACGAATGACTTTTACGTGTATCCGAACATGGTACATACAGCCACACGTTCTACAAACATGATAACTGATATCGGCACTTTGTTGGAATCGCAGTGCTTTAAATCTGTCTCCGTCAAATTTCCTGCACGACTGACACGAGGAATTTTTCAAGAGACACCCGGCGGTGTCTCTGGTCTCGCACGATGGTGCTCGGATACTCGCACTCTCGCCCGCGTACACGCACGCAACACACGCAGATGTAACACACGCAGAATAGCAAAATAGATCTGAGAACGTCCGAAGTTTCAAGGGGGAGAGCAGAGGGAAGGGGGCGGGTAAGAGGCGAGAGCGTAGGGAGTAGATCGTTGACATTGAATTATCTTTGGCTGTTCTGTGGCACGGGCTGAGAATGGCTTATGTACCTGATCACCTGCGCCCACGTCCGTCTCTTGCCTGTCCGTATGGACACCATCCGCGATATTTGGGGACTGTTGTTCGATCGCCACCAAAAGGTTCAACGTACGCCAATCGAATCCTGCCACGATACGCCTTACGTTACACAGTCCTTATTCATTTCCTTTTGTGTATGATCTTGGGTTTTTTGATCCGAGAGGTGATGAGCAGGATGTTGATTGTCCGAGCGATCGAGGCACGAAGGATTCAAGCGTCTCGATGTCTATCCGCGAACAAGAATCCTCATAGGGCCAGTTTCACAAACGTCAGTTAACTGTTAACCAGAGTTTAGTTGACTCCCTCTCTTCTTCCATCTTATTATTTAAGAAGAAACAAAGAATCAATTAACCTGAGGTTAGCAGTTCTACCCATACTCGTCACAGTATTATCATTGGTCTTCAATGTAAAAAAAAAGAAAGAAAGAAAGAAATCGCGAAGGTTTCAAGCATCTCGATGTGTATCCGCGAAAAAGAATTCTCATACTCGTTTTAGTATTATCATTAATATTCAATGTAATAAGAAGACAGAAATCGCGATGTTTCGCGCTTGAATCTCTTGCGCCACGACTCGATCGTGTTATAGCAACAATTCGATGAGGGAGAATCGTGTGAGGCGAGTCTTATGAAGAACGAAGCAGCTGGCTATCTGTCCAGCCGTAGGGCATGCATGTGTTACATGAGTAATGGGTTTGTCACGGGTGTAAGGATCTCGGTTCTGCTCGCGCGAACGTAGAATTAACGTCCAACAAAGTGTCGGAGACAATCGGGGAGAGTGACAGACGTGCGTCGCTGAGAGACCGATGTGTAGCGCGAATGCGTGTCGCGTCGGCCGGTTGCTGTACCTTTTGAAGAGTCGTCGTAGCCGATGTGTTTCACTGTATCTCGTACGATCTTCTGATAATCCACCACAGCCTTAGATGTAATCTCCCCGCACAGAAGTATCATCCCAGTTTTTGTTACGGTTTCTACGGTAGAGAAACAGAGTCGATTAGTAAAATCCGTAGCTTCTTGCACGTACAATCTGTCTACATAATGAAGTTACATGTACGCGTTTAATGCAGAATAGCGTAATTGTACATCAAAGGAATGTTAAAGCGAGCGTTAAGGCAGCCGTAAACGCATTTGGGGGTTTTTCTTTTCTCTCAAAGAGGCCGTTTCAACGATACATTGCGAACGCAATGGACGCAGAAGCCAAAAGTTCCGGCCTAGTTCAGGGCCGAACAAACTAATTTATAAATAGAATACCATGATACATATTCGAGTGCCTGAAGAAATCGCAGCACTGCCTTGGCGAAACTCACCGCATGCTACTTTAGCATCGGGATCTTGTGTCAGGTGGGCATCCAGAATGGCATCGCTTATTTGATCGCACATTTTATCTGAAAAAGAACATACCAGAGACATAAATATACTGTAACAGAAGTGAAGTATTAAGCGAGACAATTAGAGGGTTTTGCTACCTGAACGCAATTAAAATCTAAGGGAACTTGCAAGGAAACTGCATAGAATTATAATAACCAAGGGGAGTAGAGAAGATTAATTTATTACATAAAGAAAGATAATAGCACACGACAAATTTTCATTCTATCTAATATAATTTAAGAAAAGCAGCGAATCACTAATCCAAGATTAGTTCACCTAAATTGCTCACGTAACTCGTTTCTCTCTTTATCTTTGGTATAATTAGAGCCGAGATGCAGAGAGGAAAAACAAGTCGTTAACCGCGGAGATAATTAGCTAACACGCGAGCCGAGGTTGCGAAAAAAATAATTTACTGTTCGTTATTTTCCAAAACGGTTCAAGTTGAGAAACGCAGAAATTTGCTTGGCTGCGTCAAGGCCTTAGAAAAATTAGCTACCGGAGTTCGATAAAGCACAGGTGCACAGAGCGCCTAGGATTATCACGTATTTGTTTCCAAATGTTTTGCCAATTTGTTATTTATGTGTATCACTTTATCACTTTGTTCACTCGGGTCTAGGCTATTTCGAGTCGTTTTACGATCGCTTGCAAAACCCTTCGCGCGACTTCCTCGACTCTCCGACGTCCTATCCTAGGACGACTAACGTGGGAAAATCGCTGAATCAGTGGACGCGATACAGCCCAACGTTGGAAAGGTGCGCGAAGAAAGCGTTGAGAAACGGGATAATTGAAAGGGGCGGAAAATGAACACCGATTGCTGGCTCGGTGGCGAAGTTTGTTAGTCACAAACTCCCTCCTGATCAACGGCTCCCGTTTAGAAGACGGAAGTAGAGAACAAAGGGGGCGAGAAAGAGAGAGAGGAAAAGAAGAAAGAGCGTTGTTTTAAAAGGGATGTGCCCTATGGTGAAACCAGACGCATAGCGTTTTCGACGTATTGAACAATTTCGTCGTATACATATATGATATATAATAAAGATGCTTTATGTAAACATATAATTACGCGTACAAGACATCTTGTATATAATTATATGTATTTGATCAACTTCGCGCATTCCAGAAGTCGTCGGTTATCGACAAATCTATTAGTTATCATCAAGATCAGGAGATTAGGAAGATAAACGTTCAAATTCACGCACCAAGTGCTATACAGGGTGTCCTGAAATTCGCGAATCAAAATACCATAGCAAGAATGTCGTCGAAAAAATAAATTAAAAAGTTATTTGCCATTTTTCGTTCCGAGCAGTAGTTTTTTTTTTAGATAAAAAGGTTCAAAACAGGCCAATCATACATTACGGTCGAACGGAAACCTGTCCGTGAGTCGCGCGTCGATAGTTTAGTGCACTAACACTATACATTCTACAGTACATTTCAAAGAGCTCTCATACAGTTCTTCAAAATGCCACGTTGCCCCACGGTTAAATAATTTTCAGGGTAAATTTTAAACAAAAATTCTCCCAGTGTAGTTCACGAAAAACGGTAGTGTCTCGCGCCAAGTATAAGCGTAGCTAGAACCGCGCGCGCGCGAGTCCGACCATGTAGTTTACGCAAGTACGCGAGTTGATGGGCCCTCAAATTTTCGGATCTCAACAATATCAAGAACGATCGTGGCTAATTCGTGGACTTCTTATTATCGTCACAGCAGCTTTGTTCACGCTCTTTGTAATTATTCCATTTGTCATAAGCAAATGTTGCGTGTCCCAACGATTTCAAGCGTCAATCTTCCGCGAACCTTGAGGCCAGTTCTGGAAGATTCCGGTCGATGGTAATAGAAGGCGAAAAAGGAGCATAAAGGAAACAAAAGGGGATTCCTAGAAGCCCGTTCGCGTCGCTCAATCGTAGCTTCGCTTCTTTCTTCCTCCCCCCCCCCCCTTTCAGAGAACTGCGATGCCTACAACAATCAAGTTACGTTTCATGCCGATTATTCTCGCTCCAGAAATAGAATCTGGACGATCGGTACATTGACGATTAAAGCGACCGAAGTAAATCGATCCCGCTAGAAGAAACGTCAACAAACATTCGAGCGGCGTCGACGGGAGAGAGAGACGTCGGCCGCGCCATCTACGTCGCGAGTAGAGTCGTCTAGAAACTCTAGAAGATGGCGAACTTCCTCTCGCGCATGGCAAATCGATCGCTGATGTACGAAGCTGAAGATTCGTCAACAATCAAGTCGCGACAACAAGGACAAGGAAGTAATGAAGAAAATTTGCAGAACGACCCGCATTCCGTCCTCCCGACCAGTCGTCCTGATTCTCTTAGCGCGACTAGCCGGCTCTTTTCTCACAGTTCTATCTATAACACAGAGAATGGTTGGTCTCGATTAGCGTTAACGCCAAGAGTCCGTACGTTCTTTTAGGCATCGGATACAGCAGTTTTTGCAGTAATTCATTCTTTTAGCCCGACTGCGCAGTCGACTGCACCGCAGATTTCCGTCAGCCGGCAAATCCGATGCGCAGCGGTTGCCAAATCCGATGCCTAAAAGAACGCACCCGATGGCATCACGTTTGCGTACGAGCTTTTCGAGCGCATCGATTGGCTACGAAATAAAAAACAAGTTCTGGAGACCCGAGAAATTTTCTACTTCGCAGCCAATCGATACGCTCGAACAGCTTGTCGCACAAGTGTAATATTACTCTAATTTATGCTAACCTAAAGCGGTATAGTCGTGAACAGAACGGGCGCTTTTTTAAAATTGCGTTTAGGAGCGCGCAATTATATTCAGAATGAGAACTGTCAGGCTGTTGTGAATACTGGCCGCAGCGGAGGAAAATCCCCTATATCAGTTAGCGGAGTTTCTGCTAAATTAACAAGCTTCATCCGTTCCACCATGAATCTCCCTGGAGTAAAATCTGTATAATGGAAAATGGGTTGTTTGATCATGTAATCGTTGCGAAAACAGATTTGTGATTGAACTTGGACGTTGAAAACCTGCTATCTCATATTAGAATTCTACCTTATCATAGAGAACTTTCCTCTATATTAGCTGCGTTCGCGCGTTGCAAATTTGAGGCGTCGGGGTGCTCTTTCTCCTTCTCTATCTCATTCACTCAGATGCAAAAGAGCACTCCGACGCCTCGGATTTGCAATGCCGAACGCAGCTAATAGTTGCTTTCCTTTTACATGAAAACTCAGATAAATCTCACTTGTGCCGTCATAACTCAGTTGAATGCATGCTCCTTTTGATTCTTGAGAAGTGAGATTCAACCAGATTTAACTGAGTTTTTGCACACGATCAAGACCGTGTGCTTTAGTGAGTTTAATAGACTCACATTAATGACGTCATATCTGAGTATAAAATACTCACATAGTTGAGTGACTCAGTATCACTTAAGTGTAAAAAGAAAGCAGATAATATCAGTTTAAAGATAACACTGGCCGGTTAATGTCGACGAAAAAGCTTGATCATTGTTATTTATTACTGGCAATTTAAAAAGATTTATATGTTTGAATTTATACCTACAACTGAAAGATAGTGTCTCAATCAATCTCTAGAAGACTTCGACTTAGCAATTGCGTCCATGTTGGATGAAGGGGGTAAGGGATACTTAAAAATCGCGTATCGACAGTTGTGTACAAATCGATACGCAGTTTAAAGTCGAAAAATAGACGCGATCATCTTTATACTGTTATTGCGACAAATATTACCACATGCCTCAGTGGTCGAATTGGCCCGCCTAGAGAGTAGGGAAGTCCAGGTTCAAACCCTGGCTGAGGTAATATTTTTCGCAATAAATTTTCTGTATTAAAACACTGGCCGGTTAATGTCGACTAAACAGTTCGATTATTGTGATTTATTACTGGCAAAGAGACTTCTATGTTTGAAAGGTAATAGTTCTCATTCTGAACCCAAATACGCGTTTCTAAACTTATTCATAAAGACCACATGTTTGCAACATGTCCGCGACTACACAAACAGAAATATGTATACAACTCGGCATTGACGTGTATCGATTCAACAGCGTCTGTGCTCCGATTCGAAATATGATCCAGAGAATGGAAGAATGCTTTCCAGTTGTATCCGATGCCACAAAGCCCAGATAGCACAGTGAATTCGCAAAGCGTTCTTAAAGCCTCCTCCCTTTGTAAATTGTAATTTTTCAGCGATTCACAGAAGAACGCAATAAGAATGATTAGGGAAGTTGCACGCACGCTAATGAACTCCTGAGGAATATTCCAAAGCGAACTGATTGTGGCTGGTTCTTCAAGAGTTCTTCGGATACTCAGTTTTCCAATTCCACAGGTATTCTTGAAAGTGAAATCTCTAAGAACTTTCACCAGAGACCTCGTATTCGTTTCTGCCGTATCTTCCGCACTCAGGAGGAAACGGAGTAACCGAACTCTACGCGACAGAAGGGTAGTCGCGAGAGCGAGCTTCTGTCGAAACAAGTCCCGCTTCCAATCGGGAATCTCGCGTCTTCGTGTCTGTATCCACCTTCTATACACGTGCGCATCTCTGAGCAACGGTCTCCCCGTCCAACGCCCGTTTTTACCAACGTTGTTTAACCTGGATCTTGGTTCAGGTCATCCTTTGTCCTTCCGATTGTCCCCTTATGCCCGACGCAGATGAAGGGCCAGTTTCACAAACGTCGGTTAACTGTGAACCAGAGTTCAGTCAACTCCGAGGGGGAAATCGCTGGCCAAAATCTTGTGCACCAATGCCCAGTGGGCATTACTTTATCTTTTTCTATTTCCGTTTCCTCCCGAGTGCGGAAGATAGGCAGAAACGAATACGAGGTCTCTGGTGAAAGTTCTTAGAGATTATTACTTTATCTATTTCATTTTATCTTTATAATACCCCAGCAAGACCCATGCCCAAACTAATGCCCAAAAAATGCGTAGTAATGCCCGGTAATGCCGCAAATCTGTACACCACCATACCTTCAGCAGTTTCCTCCTCGGTCAACTTCCTATCTTTTTCTATATTATTATCTAAGAAGAGACAGAGAATCAATTTACCTTCGGTTAGCAGTTAACCGACGTTTGTGAAACTCGCTCTAAGGACCAACTTCACAAACGTTGGTTAACTGTTAGCCAGAGTTCAGTCGACTCCCTATCTTTTTCAATCTTATTATTTAAGAAGAGACGGAGAATCAACTAACAGTTTCGGTTAGCAGTTAACCGATGTTTGTGAAACTGGCCCGAAGGGTCAGAGCACAAAGCAACGAAATAGCTTACGACGAAGACGCAAGCGTAAATGTAGATGGCGTACGTCGTCCTTACCTCCAATTACATATGACGTTACTTTTACGCCAAAGCTTGTGCGCTACGTTTACGCTTGCGTCTTTGGCGTAAGCTATTACGTTGCTTTGTGCTCCGACCCTAACTTTAATCTCGGTTCAAATTACTTATCTTCAACAGTAGAGGAGTATACTTGAAGTCACCAGTGATGAATAAGTCTAACTTACTTTATCTCACTCGTAAAATTAGAAAAGGACATAATGTTGATCCGAGGTTGAAGTTAAACTGCGTCGGTGGAAGCGGGCATTGGAAGGAGACGAAAGATGATTATGGGTGTGTCCGAGAGCTCGCTCTCAGCGCTGAGTAGCGTTGAGAGCGTCGCTATCTTTCCTCGACGCATAACGAGCTGCAAAGATAGAATGACGCTTTCAGCGAGAAGGCCCGGTTTCACCAACGTTGTTTAACTTTAAGCTTAGCTTACTTCGCCCTTTGTCTCTCCCCAACTGTTACTCTAGAAAGAGACAAACATGAATTAAACCAAGATCAAAGTTAAACGACGTTGATGCAAACCGGAGTGAGGCTGATGTTACATTCAGTCTCTCGAGACTCGAGCACCTTTCTATCCCGCAGCCAATCAACACGCTTGAAAAATTCGTCGTACGGCAACTGTAAATATCAGCCCTTGTCGCGTACGACAAATCGTAATACTAGGCTGAAACGAGACGGATTTCGGGCAGCGCGTGGCGCGAACCGGCGCCCAGCGTCGGGGCCGACCGGCCGAGGTTCGCGCCGATCGCGCTGCGATCGGCGCTGGCGAGCACATGGCGGCGCAACGCGCAGCACGCCCGCCAGGTCACGCCGCGTTCACGAAAACGGGGGAAAAGGCGGAGAACGGGAGATCCCCCTGGTGATCTCCGTTTTCGCTCGGAAATCGAAGCTCCCTTTCCTGACCCCGCGATCCCGTGTCGACGTTGTCGTCGTCGAGAGGAGGAGACGACGCGTCATCCGTCGTAGGGTCCGATCGAGGGGCAGGGGGGACGAGAGGGTAGGAAAAAGCGCGGACGAGTCTCCTCCATGACGGAGGAGAGTACGCGGCACACGACGGTGGTGGTGACAGTGGTGGTGGGAAGCCGCAAGGTACGGAGGGACGTGGAGCGAGAGAGAGAGAGAAAGAGAGAAAAAGAAAGAGAGAGAGAGAGAGAAAGAGAGAGAGAGAGAGAGAGAGAGAGAGAGAGAGAGAGAGAAAGAGAGAGAGCTTCTGGTTTCGACCGATAATGTAGAGTCGCCCGACAAGGGCCCGGCGACGGGGGTCGGAGCAGGAGGGGGGGAGAGGGTTCTGCTCACCTGGGTGTCCCTCGCCGACAGACTCCGAGGTGAAGAGGAACGCGGTGTCCTGCTGCAGCTCGGGCGGCGCGTGGCCGTTCGCGTAGCCGTTCATATGGTGCGCGGTCTCCGGCATCTTCCTGCGCTTCGGGGTCGTCGCCGCCGTTGTCGCCGTGTCGTCTCGCTCGACGGGCCGCCCTCCTCGTTAACTCTGAGAGACCGATCCGCGGGTGTAGCGCCGCGCCGTTACACGTTCTCCGCGCGCCACGAGAGCTATGGCCTTCCTCCCCACGTGCCTTCTTCTCCTCCTCCTCCTCCTCCTCCGCCGCCGCCGCCGCCGCCTCGCCTCGTCGTCGTCGTCTTCCTCCTCACGCGTACACGCGCGCGCCCCGAACACCGAGTCAGCCGTCCGCGAGGTCGGTGGAGTCACCGATCGAGCGGGCCGCCGCGCGTCTTTCCCGCGCTCGCCGGGGGGTTATATTACCTGTGGCTCCTCGTCGACGGTGGACGCGACCGAGCGCGAGCGACGGGCACGGCGTGCACGAGAGGAAGAGAGAGAGAGTGAGAGAGCGCGGGTCGGGTTCGAGAGGAGAAGAGCGCGCGATCTCCACACAGGCACACGGCACACCGCGTAATGATCGGGGACGAGGCGAACGGGCGAAGCGACGCGCCGCGGCGCGTAGCGGCAAGTGAAAGAGACTCCCCGCACCCGACGTCCTCTATTTATAACCTCTCTCCGCCTGCCCGCGCGAACGCCCCGGCGCCGCAGTTCGTGGTCACGTGACGCGCTCGGCGCGCGATTCGATTCTCGCCGCGACTCCACGTGGCTCCTGCGAACAAATGGGAGAAGACGCCAGTCAGAGGCGGAGTCGGAGAACGCTCGGGTATCGTTCTCGGTATCGTGGAACTGGATAACCGCGTTGGCAACCGCGTTCCACCCGGACGAGACCAACGATTTGTGAAAACATTATTCCGGTTCTCGCCAATGTCGGCTTAACTTTGTTGATTTTATCATTTATGCTTCGTCTCCTTCTAACTGTTTGGAAAGAGACCAAGGATGAATTTGACTACCCAGTGAGAAATGATTCGTCGATTGATGTCGAATCTACGTATTGATGTAACTATTAAACTAGTTATTGAAAAAAGTGTAACTGAGTTAAGTTACAGTTATAGACGAAGGGAAAGAAACGAAGTTAAATTATAGTCACCAAAAAAAGTAACTGTAACCGTAACTTCGTTACAAGCAACGACTTACTTTCCAACCCTGGTAACCTTATTTATTGTGTAATTTTACCATCCACATATATTAGTGTCGGCCAGAAATTTGGCTCTTCGCGTTTATTTCCGGTGCGTCCAAAACTTTTGACCGATACTGTATTTATGTAAATAATCTATTTAATTACAAAAAAAACCCGTATATCTTAACGATAAGCACAAATATTTATCTAGAGACGTGAAATTATTAAATATATAATGTAATATTGCGCCATGTAAAAAATAACGCCGTCAACTTTTTGCCTGAATCATCATAGATGACGTCTGTATCCGTCATTTAAATAATTTTTGTTCGAAAAATTGTTTTTAAGTATAACATGCGAATGGCGATATATCCAATATTTTATATACCGTCGGGGATTTCTTTTTACAATGAATTTAATTATATTAATGTGCCGGCAAGTACTGAAAATATTAAGCCTTAGATGCCGGACAGGTTTTTTCATGACTTTTTTAATAAGATTTATTTATAACTTGCGTATACATACGCGTTAGAATGTTTTACTACGAAAAACAAGCGACCCCCCGCGGAGCCTGTGCGTTCGTATCACGTTCATATGCGTAAAATATTACAAACAAATATCATCAAAATATAATGAATGTGCGTGCCGTTTGTTGAAGCTCCGCGAATTTTACTATTTCAGTTCACTGAACGGCATATAACCGGACGAGAACCGCATTAGCAAACGCTGTTTTTATAGAAATATATATTTATTAATCGCGGCAATTATTTGTAAATCGAAAGTACTACCCAGCATTTTGTAACCAACGTTTCGAAACACTTATTTCATTCTGTCGATCTCCCGAAGACGCCACGTATTCGCGGGTGAATTAATTCTTTTATATTATACTTAACGCAATCTACAATTTCAATTGCTATCTAAAAATTGTTAATATTATATTCATTATTGCAACGCTTTTCAATTGAATGAAATCGGTTTCACTTTCAATTGACGACAGTCCATCTTTCACGCGTCAGGAAACACGTTTCCTAAATCCACGAATACAAACATCTAACGATACAGCCCGAAGGTGATGACACTATTGATAAGTTTACCATTTATTTTGATACGGTATAACGTTTCTCCTGGTTTATCAACGTGACACTATGATCTTCGAGAATAATCATTTAGGATTCGGTGCGTCATACTTTGCGCGCGGACCTTTTAATGTTGCATCATGTGCCGGATGATCTGCCCCAGAGTTGCGAAATAAAACGAGAAGCTGTCCGTATCTCCGTGTCCTCCGCGGTTTCACTTCAAGTAGAGCTCATCGAATTTAGGAATTTGAGGAATTGCAGAAATGTACAGGTAGAAACTAACATGTCCAGCCTGGATACTTACCGATAACTCTGGTGAAGTGCTGTATCAGCGCTTTATTTCTGAGCCGCGTTATCTTTGAGAGTTCGAGAGCTCCGAAAAGGGGCCGAATTCGCTGCCGCGGTTTGTCTGACACAGCCGGAAATCTAATTCGCGCGAGACACAGAACGAAGCCGCGGAGTTGCGAAACTTGAGCACAAGATTCAGAGAGACGTTATCGCCACCCGACGGAATTGCACTATACGGGAGTGCGCAAACTGGCTAGACTTTTATATATCGCTCGGCGATCGAGAAGCTCCTCGGAGTGGAGTGGGACTGGCGGACGCAGCTGTATTAGGATGTGTTGGAATAACACATCAGTTTTACAGTAAATTGCACAAGTGTTTATGGCCTCGTTCGTTTTCCCGGGAGTAAATATAATTAAAAATCTGTGCAACGCGACATAGAGGTGATTCAAACGTTGAGTGAAAAGAAACTGGATTGTTACTTGGATGGGTTTAGAAGTTGAATGAATAAAAGCTGGCTTTGTTCGTCTAAGATTACTCAAGATCGGAACTGTTGATTGGTATACGAGACGAGAATTTTTAATAAATTTTAAATGTAATAGCTTTACGGAAAATTTTATATTAAATGTAAAATTAAAATTATTAAATATAAAATGTTTACGGAATGAAACAGCTTTCAACCAAGATTGAGTCAAAACATCTACGCGGAGAGAATTTTCTTTTAAAAGTTATTCTGAAAATTATGTGATCGTGGGACATCGTGGCATTTTGAACAACTTTATAAGAGTTTTTGATTTTACTAGTAAAATGTATGGTAAAATTTCAGAAAATTCTCGTAAAATTCTTCGAAATGCCATGTTGTTCCATGATTACATAATTTTCAGGATAAATTTCAAAAGAAAATTCTCTCCATGTAGGAAATCTAGGAACGTAGCTTTAAATCCAATTTGATAGAACTAGGAAGATCTAAAGCGAGTACTGGTACACTTGACAACTTATGGAACTGTTAAACGTCGAATTGGAAAGTCTCGATTTAGGAATCCGATTAAGCAAGAATTTGCGAGATAACGTAGCGAGAAAATGATTGGTCGAAAAATCGACACCAAGTTGACGTCTATTCGACGCATTTGACGTCGATTCGACATTGACATGTTTTCAACCATTATTTCTAAGAAGGCATCTCTAGGATCAAGAATTTGTGGAAATATAATAATATAAAAAGTTATAATAAAAATGGTTAAACTAAGGCGATAAAATAATAACATGTTATTCTTCTATTAACATAATTCATTATATTTACAAATACGTGCCAATTGTATATTAAATCCTTTGTGCTGCCACTCAATCGCCTTAATTTAACCGTTAAATTTGTATAATAGAGCGTAAGCTTTTACTAATAAAAGTAAATTTGGTATTTACGGAAGCATACATTTGCAAAAAGCGAGAACTCTGAGTGAGAAAATCGGCAATTAAAAAAACAACCTTCTTCGAATTTGTATTTATTTCTTTATAGTAAAACATTACATGCATGTATATTATATATATATTGTTGCTTTTTGTGAATCTCGTGCATTTGTTTTTTCAACAATTTGACTCGTTTGGCGGAGCAACATAATGTCCAATACGAATAATATGCTATAATCATAGTCAAAGTTGTTCGTCACTCGAGCATTTCTCGTTAATGACGTTAAAGTTGCCGATCATTTTATACGTCACACATCAGTCGTAAGTGACGAGTTGCGAATCATGTTATTGAACGTGAAGCGATTGCGCGGCTGACTAGCAACTTCAGTTTAAACGCGATAGCAATTATCACCCAGTATCTCTGATACTCGATATA